TGACCAGTCTTGAAACCTGACTGGTTTGGATCAAGAAGGTCATTCTGAGAGAGATAGCAGGAGAGTTGGCTAGAGACGGCACGCTCAAGTGTTTTGGAGAGAAAAGAAAGAAGGGATACTGGTCTGTAGTTGTTGACATCGGAGGGATCGAGTGTAGGTTTTTTGAGGAGGGGTGCAACTCTCGCTCTCTTGAAGACGGAAGGGACATGGCCAGCGTTCAATGATGAGTTCATGAGCGAGGTGAGGTAAGGGAGAAGGTCTCCGGAAATGGTCTGGAGAAGAGAGGAGGGGATAGGGTCAAGCAGGCAGGTTGTTGGGCGGCCGGCCGTCACAAGTCGCAAGATTTCATCTGGAGAGAGAGGGGAGAAAGAAGTCAAAGCATAGGGTAGGGCAGTGTGAGCAGGACCAGCGGTGTCATTTGACTTAATAAATTAGGATTGGATGTCGTCAACCTTCTTTTCAAAATGGTTGACGAAGTCATCCACAGAGAGGGATGAGGGAGGGGGAGGAGTAGGGGGATTCAGCAGGGAGGAGAAGGTGGCAAAGAGCTTCCTAGGGTTAGAGGCAGAGGCTTGAAATTTAGTGGTAGAAAGTGGCTTTAGCAGCGGAAACAGAGGAAGAGAATGTAGAGAGGAGGGAGTGAAAAGATGACAGGTCCTCAGGGAGTCTAGTTTTCCTCAATTTTCTGCTCGGCTGCCCGGAGCCCTCTTCTGTGAGCTCTCAATGAGTCATCAAGCCATGGAGCAGGAGGGGAGAACCGAGCCGGCCGGGAGGATAGGGGACATAGAGAGTTAAAAGATGCAGAAAGGGAGGAGATGAGGGTTGAGGAGGCAGAATCAGGAGATCGGAGGGAGAAGGATTTAGCAGAGGGAAGAGATGATATGATGGAAGAGGAGAGAATAGCGGGAGAGAGAGAGCGAAGGTTGCGACGGCACATTACCATTGGAGTAGGGGCAGAGTGAGTAGTGTTGGAGGAGAGCGAGAGAGAAAAGGATACAAAGTAGTGGTCGGAGTCTTGGAGGGGAGTTGCAGTGAGATTAGTAGAAGAACAGCATCAAGTAAAGATGAGTGGGGGGGGCGGTGAGAGGGTGAGGTCAAAAGAGGAAAGGAGTGGAAAGAAGGAGGCAGAGAGAAATGAGTCAAAGGCAGACGTAGGGAGGTTAAAGTCACCCAGAACTGTGAGGGGTGAGCCATCCTCAGGAAAGGAACTTATCAAGGCATCAACTCAACTCGCCGTGTTTGGAGGAGGAGGAATGCTGCCTATGACCCCAAGAACACCATCCCCACCGTCAAACATGGAGGTGGAAACATTATTCTTTGGGGGTGTTTTTTTGCTAAGGGGAAAGGACAACTTCACCGCATCAAAGGGACGATGGACGGGGCCATGTACCGTCATATCTTGGGTGAGAACCTCCTTCCCTCAGCCAGGGCAATGAAAATGGGTCGTGGATGGGTATTCCAGCATGACAATGACCCAAAACACATGGCCAAGGCAACAAAGGAGTGGCTCAAGAAGAAGCACATTAAGGTCCTGGAGTGGCCTAGCCAGTCTCCAGACCTTAATCCCATAGAAAATCTGTGGAGGGAGTTGCCAAACGTCAGCCTCGAAACCTTAATGACTTGGAGAAGATCTGCAAAGAGGAGTGGGACAAAATCCCTCCTGAGATGTGTGCAAACCTGGTGGCCAACTACAAGAAACATCTGACCTCTGTGATTGCCAACAAGGGTTTTTCCACCAAGTACTAAGTCATGTTTTGCAGAGGGGTCAAATACTTATTTCCCTCAATAAAATGCAAATCAATGTATAACATTTTTGACATGCGTTTTTCTGGATATTTTTTTTGTTATTCTGTCTCTCACTGTTCAAATAAATCTACCATTAAAATTATAGACTGATCATTTCTTTGTCAGTGGGCAAACGTACAAAATCAGCAGGGGATGAAATACTTTTTTCCCTCACTGTATATATATATATATATATGTATGTATGTATGTATGTATGTATGTATGTATGTATGTATGTATGTATGTATGTATGTATGTATGTATGTATGTATGTATGTATATGTGTGTTATATATATATATATATATATATATAAACACAAGAATTAAGCTATATACAAGGAGTTCCATTGCCATATCAATGTGCAGGGATGCATGGTAATAGAGGTAGATATGTAGATAAAGGTCAAGTCTAGCACTATAAGCACGTATGTGTTTACCCACACAGTAAGGCAAACATTAATGCACAGGTGGCTATCATTCACTGTACCATATAACTGACAAAATGTTTTTCTGTTCTCAAGGGGAGTTGTTGGACTTTTCTGGACAAAGAGTGGAGATTCATGAGGTGAGAGGAGGAACAGGGTGTGTAGGGTTTGTGGATTTAATGTATGAAATAAAATCTCTAAGGCCCTTTCTTTGGCAATAAATCCTTACATTCCGTGGCACAAATACTCCTAACCCTCACTCTCTCTCTCTGGTAGAAAACAGAGAAGGTGGACTTCTCTTGGAACAACCTGGCCGACCCAAAGTTCTGTTTCCATGACCACAGCCTAGTGGAGGTGGTGAGGGAGGGCAACCCTGAGGTGCAGGCCTTCTTCCGCCTGCTAGCATTGTGCCACACTGTCATGCCCGAGGAGAAGGAGGGTGAGAAAGCGCCTCCTGCTGGATTCACATGTTATTGCATTGGTGTGGGTGACTATGGACTGAGGCTTGAGGTAGAAGTTGCACAGTGGTTGGGAGGACAACTTCTACCTACTCCATAAACTAGACAAGGCGACTAGTAAATGTCTTCCATCATTGTGATCTTCTAGGTGAGTTGTACTACCAGGCCCAGTCACCAGACGAGGGCGCTCTGGTCACAGCAGCCAGGAACTTTGGCTTTGTGTTCCGCTCTCGTACGCCAGAGAGCATCACTGTGGTGGAGATGGGAGAGCTGGTCACCTACGAGCTACTGGCTTTACTGGACTTCAACAACGTCCGCAAGAGGATGTCGGTCATCGGTGAGTCCAACCAACACTAACCATTACGCTTTTAGAATTATAGGGGAATATGTTCTGAAGCCGTAGCTAATTAGAATGATCTGAATGATATGTGAAGTTTGTTCAAACTTTGATGGCTTTATTGTAACCGGTTGACATTGAGATTTAAGTGAACAAAACCTGATTATATCTTGTATGGCCCCTAGTGCGCAGTCCGGAGGGCAAGCTGACTCTGTACTGTAAGGGAGCAGACACCATCATCTTTGAGAGACTGAACCCTTCTTGCAGCAAACTAAAGGAAGTCACCACCGAACACCTCAATGTGAGTAACCAGCCTCTGTCTGTGTGTGTGTGTGTGTTTAGGATTATGTATTTTCTATGGAGCGTTTGAATATATGTAAAATCTTACACAAGATGAACTGTATCCTGTGTGTCCAACTCTGTACCTGTGTGTTGGATCCTAACTCTAAAGTAACTGTTCCATTGACAGGAGTATGCTGGGGATGGTCTGCGTACGCTGGCTCTGGCCTACAAGGACATAGACCCAGAGTATATGGAGGAGTGGAAACTGCGCCACCATGAGGCCAGCACTGCCATGGACGAGAGGGAGGAGAAGTTGGATGTGCTCTATGAGGAGATAGAGAAAGGCCTGCTGGTGGGTACTACAGACAAAAGTATCATTGTCTTGTAGGACATTGTAATCAACTAGCACAATAACAACTGAATCTTTCATGTTTGTACCGGTATGTGTGTGTAGCTGTTAGGATCCACTGCAGTAGAGGATAAGCTACAGGATGGAGTGCCTCAGACCATCGAGCAGCTCTCCAAAGCCGACATCAAGATCTGGGTGCTCACTGGAGACAAGCAAGGTGGGTTATCTTCCTTAGAATTTACTATCAATAGGCTACAATTATTTTCTCTGGCACGCCTTGATTCTCTTTTCTCTCTGTGGAACAGAAACGGCAGAGAACATTGGCTACTCCTGCAACATGTTGCGAGAGGAGATGACCGAAGTGTTCATTGTGTCGACAAACACAGCAGAGGAAGTCAGAAAGGAGCTCCAGTGAGTCCACAGACTACTGACAATCACTTTCCTAGCTTGAAGCACCACAGTAAGGCGACATGTAAAAGTGTCTCCCTCTCTCCCTGACCAGGACCGCAAGGAGGAAGATGAGACCTGATGGACCAGAGGAGCCTACTGTCACGAAGAGTAGAAGTGGCCTGTTTTGTCTTTTAAAGACGGAGACAGTGGCAGATGAGCCAGTGGATGGAGAGTACGCTATGGTGATTAACGGACACAGTCTGGTAAGGACAAGGACCCTGGTGGGTCTAAGGACAAGTTACTGTAAACATAAAACTCATATTCTGATTACAACATATGTCAATCACTTTTTATAATCTCTGTTACTCCCTCTCCCCACTGCTCTCCCTCTCCCCTTCCTTCCTTCCTTCCTTCCTTCCTTCCTTCCTTCCTTCCTTCCTTCCTTCCTTCCTTCCTTCCTTCCTTCCTTCCTTCCTTCCTTCCTTCCTTCCTTCCTTCCCTCTTCTCCCTATCCTTCCCTCCTACCTCCCCTCTCCACCCAGGCTTTTGCCCTGGAGAAAGACATGGAGATGGAGCTGCTGCGGACGGCGTGTATGTGTCAGACGGTGATCTGCTGCAGGGTGACTCCACTGCAGAAAGCCCAGGTGGTGGAGCTGGTGAAGAAGTACAAGCAGGCTATCACTCTGGCCATCGGCGATGGGGCCAACGATGTCAGCATGATCAAGGGTAGGGCTGCTTGATCAAGGGTCAAGCAGCTCCGATTTTGAGCTGCTTGAACACTGTGAAGGTGTTGAAGTATCCTGATTCCTGATGCTAAATGTTTGACTTCTATTATATGATTGCTCTAATCAACTCATACACTCATCCTCTTCATCTCTCTCTCCCGCCACCCCTCTCCCTCTCTCTTGCCCTCCCTTCCTCTCTCCCCCCTCCAGCTGCTCATATAGGGGTGGGTATATCAGGTCAGGAGGGTATGCAGGCGGTGCTCTCCAGTGACTTCTCCTTCGCTCAGTTCCGCTACCTGCAGCGCCTCCTGCTGGTGCACGGCCGCTGGTCCTACCTAAGGATGTGCAAGTTCCTGCGCTACTTCTTCTACAAGAACTTCACCTTCACCTTCGTCCACTTCTGGTACGGCTTCTTCTGCGGTTTCTCAGCACAGGTGAGACACAGAGACAGAGGTGCATGCACAGAGACGAGTAGAAAAGTCATGCTTTAGTTTGTTTAGAGAATGATATGTTAATTCCTTTATAACTAGGGGCATAAGTAGTTCCTGACCAGGAAACATTCTGGGCTCTAATGGACTAGAGTCAGTCATGTATTTAATGTGTATGATTTGTTGTTCCCCCTAACAGACTGTGTATGACGAGTGGTTCATCACCCTGTATAACCTGGTTTACACAGCTCTACCTGTGCTGGCGTTGAGTCTCTTTGACCAGGTAATCATGTCTCTTGGGCTTATGTTAGTATGTCAGTAATGTACGTCAGCCAATTATGTATGCCACTGCAAGTAAGTAGTATGTAATCACATACATACACTGAGTATACATAACATTAAGAACTCTCTTTCCATGACATAGACTGACCAGGTGAATCCAGGTGAAAGCTATGATCCCTTATTGATGTCACTTGTTAAATCCACTTCAATCAAATCAAAATCAAATCAAATGTATTGGTCACATACACATGGTTAGCAGATGTTATTGCGAGTGTAGTGAAATTATTGTGCTTCTAGTTCCGACAGTGCAGTAATATCTAGCAAGTAATATCTAACAGTTCGACAACAAATATCTAATACACACAAATCTAATTAAAGGAGTGGAATAAGAATATATAAATATATGGATGAGCAATGTCATTGTCAGAGCGGCATAGGCAAAGATGCAATAGATAGTATAGAATACAGTATATACAGTTGAAGTCGGAAGTTTACATATACCTTAGCCAAATACATTTAAACTCAGTTTTTCACAATTCCTGACATTTAATCCTAGTAAAAATTCCCTGTCTTAGATCAGTTAGGATCACCACTTTATTTTAAGAATGTGAAATGTCAGAATAATAGTAGAGAGAATTATTTATTTCAGCTTTTATTTCTTTCATCACATTCCCAGTGGGTCAGAAGTTTACATTCACTCAATTAGTATTTGGTAGCATTGCCTTTTAAATTGTTCAACTTGTGTCAAACGTCTCGGGTAGCCTTCCACAAACTTCCCACAATAAGTTGGGTGAATTTTGGCCTTTTCCTCCTGACAGAGCTGGTGTAACTGAGTCAGGTTTGTAGGCCTCCTTGCTCGCACACGCTTTTTCAGTTCTGTCCACAACTTTTCTATATGATTGAGGTCAGGGCTTTGTGATGGCCACTCCAATACCTTGGCTTTGTTGTCCTTAAGCCATTTTGCCACAACTTTGGAAGTATGCTTGGGGTCATTTTTCATTTGGAAGACCCATTTGCGACCAAGCTTTAACTTCCTGACTGATGTCTTGAGATGTTGCTTCAATATTTCCACATAATTTTCCTTCCTCATGATGCCATCTATTTTGTGAAGTGCACCAGTCCCTCCTGCAGCAAAGCACCCCCACAGCATGATGCTGCCACTCCCGTGTTTCACGGTTTTTTCCTCTAAACATAACGATGGCCATTATGGCCAAACAGTTATTTTTTTTTACATTTTACATTTTAGTCATTTAGCAGACGCTCTTATCCTGAGCGACTTACAGGAGCAATTAGGGTTAAGTGCCTTGCTTAAGGGCACATCGACAGATTTTTCACCTAGTCGGCTCGGGGATTAGAACCAGCGACCTTTCGGTTACTGGCACAACGCTCTTACCCACTAAGCTACCTGCCGCTATATTTCTGTTTCATCAGACCAGAGGACATTTCTCCAAAAAGTATGATCTTTGTCCCCATGTGCAGTTGCAAACCGTAGTCTGGCTTTTTTATGGCAGTTTAGGAGCAGTGGCTTCTTCCTTGCTGAGCGGCCTTTCAGGTTATGTCGATATAGGACTCGTTTTGCTGTGGATATAGATACTTTTGTACCTGTTTCCTCCAGCATCTTCACAAGGTCCTTTGCTGTTGTTCTGGGATTGATTTGCACTTTTCGCACCAAAGTACGTTCATCTCTAGGAGACAGAACGCGTCTCCTTCCTGAGCGGTATGACGGCTGCGTGGTCCCATGGTGTTTATACTTGCGTACTATTGTTTGTACAGATGAACGTGGTACCTTCAGGCGTCTGGAAATTGCTCCCAAGGATGAACCAGACTTGTGGAGGTCTACAATTTTTTTCTGAGGTCTTGGCTGATTTCTTTTGATTTTCCCATGATGTCAAGCAAAGAGGCACTGAGTTTGAAGGTAGGCCTTGAAATACATCCACAGGTACACCTCCAATTGACTCAAATGATGTCAATTAGCCTATCAGAAGCTTCTAAAGCCATGACATCATTTTCTGGAATTTTCCAAGCTGTTTAAAGGCATAGTCAACTTAGTGTATGTAAACTTCTGACCCACTGGAATTGTGATACAGTGAATTATAAGTGAAATAATCTGTCTGTAAACAACTGTTGTATAAATTACTTGTATCATGCACAAAGTAGATGTCCTAACCGACTTGCCAAAACTATAGTTTGTTAACAAGAAATCTGTGGAGTAGTTGAAAAATGAGTTTTAATGACTCCAACCTAAGTGTATGTAAACTTCCGACTTCAACTGTACATATGAGATGGGTAATGCAAGATATGTAAACATTATTAAAGTGGCATTATTAAAGTGACTAGTGTTCCATTTATTACAGTTGCCAGTGATTTTCAAGTCTGTATGTAGGCAGCAGCCTCTCTGTGCTAGTGATGGCTGTTTAACAGTCTGATGGCCTTGAGATAGAAGCTGTTTTTCAGTCTCTCGGTCCCAGCTTTGATGCACCTGTACTGACCTTGCCTTCTGGATGATAGCGGGGTGAACAAGCAGTGTCTAGGGTGGTTGTTGTCCTTGATGATCTTTTTGGCCTTCCTGTGACATCGGGTGCTGTAGGTGTCCTGGAGGGCATGTAGTTTGTCCCCGGTGGTGCGTTGTGCAGACCGCACCACCCTCTGGAGAGCCCTGCGGTTGCGGGCGGTGCAGTTGCCGTACCAGGCGGTGATACAGCCCGACAGGATGCTCTCAATTGTGCATCTGTAAAAGTTTGTGAGGGTTTTAAGTGACAGGCCAAATTTCTTCAGCCTCCTGAGGTTGAAGAGACGCTGTTGCGCCTTCTTCACCACACTGTCTGTGTGGGTGGACCATTTCAGTTTGTCAGTGATATGTACGCCGAGGAACTTAAAACTTTCCACCTTCTCCACTGCTGTCCTGTCAATGTGGATAGGGGGGTGCACCCTCTGCTGTTTCCTGAAGTCCACGATCATCTCCTTTGTTTTGTTGATGTTGAGTGAGAGGTTATTTTCCTGACACCACACTCCGAGAGTCCTCACCTCCTCCCTGTAGGCTGTCTCAACGTTGTTGGTAATCAAGCCTACTACTGTCGTGTCGTCTGCAAACTTGATGATTGAGTTGGAGGCGTGCTTGGTCACGTGGTCATGGGTGAACAGGGAGTACAGGAGGGGGCTGAGCACACACCCTTGTGGTGCCCCAATGTTGAGGATCAGTGAAGTGGAGATGTTGTTTCCTACCTTCACCACCTGGGGGCGGCCCGTCAGGAAGTCCAGGACCCAATTGCACAGGGCGGGTTAGACCCAGGGCCTCAAGCTTAATGATGAGCTTGGAGGGTACTATGGTGTTGAATGCTGAGCTATAGTCAATGAACAGCATTCTTACATAGTTATTCCTCTTGTCCAGATGGGATAGGGGAGTGTGCAGTGTGATGGCGATTGCATCATCTGTGGACCTATTGGGGCGGTAAGCAAATTGAAGTGGGTCTAGGGTGACAGGTAAGTTGGAGGTGATATGATCCTTGACTCTCAAAGCACTTCATGATGACAGAAGTGAGTGCTACGGGATGATAGTCATTTAGTTCAGTTAGCTTTGCATTCTTGGGTACAGGAACAATGGTGGCCATCTTGAAGCATGTGGGGACAGCAGACTGGGATAGGGAGAGATTGAATATGTCCGTAAACACACCAGCCAGCTGGTCTGCGCATGCTCAGAGGACGCGGCTAGGTCTGGGCCGGCAGCCTTGCGAGGGTTAACACGTTTAAATGTCTTACTCACATTGGCCACGGAGAAGGAGAGCCCACAGTTCTTGGTAGCTGGCCACGTCGGTGGCACTTTGTTATCCTCAATGCGGACAAATAACTTGTTTAGCTTGTCTGGCAGCAAGACATCGGTGTCCGCGACATGGCTGGTTTTCCTATTGTAGTCCGTGATTGTCTGTAAACCCTGCCACATACCTCTCGTGTCTGAGCTGTTGAATTGCGACTCCACTTTGTCTCGATATTTACGTTTTGCCTGTTTGATTGCCTTGCGGAGGGAACGACCACTCTGTTTGTATTCTGCCATATTCGTCGTCACCTTGACATAGTTAAATGCGGTGGTTCGTGCTTTCAGTTTTTCTCGAATGCTGCCATCTATACACGGTTTCTGGTTAGAGTAGGTTTTAATTGTCACAGTGGGTACAACATCTCCTATATCATTGTAGATGAAGGGGAGGAGACAGGTTAAAGAAGGATTTTTAAGCCTTGAGACATGGATTGTGTGTGTGCCATTCTGAGGGTGAATGGGCAAGACAAAAGATTAAAGTGCCTTTTGAAGGGTAGAAGGTGCCAGGCGCATCGGTTTGTGTCAAGAACTTCAACGCTGCTGGGTTTTTCACACTGAACAGTTTCCAGTGTGTATCAAGAATGGTCCACCACCCAATATTAGGAAGGTGTTCCTAATGTTTGGTATATTCAGTGTATGTCTCCCTCTATATCTGTGTGTTTAGGATGTAAATGACCGGTGGAGTTTCCAGTACCCCAAGCTCTACGCCCCAGGCCAGCTGAACCAGTATTTCAGTAAGAGGGCCTTTGTCTACACGCTGTTACACAGTGGCTACAGCTCCCTGGTCCTCTTCTTCATCCCCTGGGCAGCCATGCACGACACGGTCCGAGACGACGGCAAAGACATTGTGGACTATCAGTCATTTGCCCTGCTGGCCCAGACCTGCCTGCTCATCGCCGTCAGTATACAGGTAAGGAGAAGGGAGGAGAAGGGAAATAGCATGTGTACTTACGTTATCAAATATGGGCATTTGTGTTGGTATATGAATGTTTCAACTGAGGCTTAAACCATACTTACATACATACACACACATACACACTCTGGACTAATGTAAAAGGCATCTCTCTAAACACACACACACACACACACACAGTAACAGAGTCTGAGGTAGCTGCATGTGTCTTTGTTAAAGCTGGGTCTGGACACCCACTATTGGACGTCAGTGAACCAGTTCTTCCTGTGGGGCAGTTTGTGTGTGTACTTTGCTGTCATATTCACCATGTACAGCAATGGCATGTTTCTCATCTTCACCTCCTCCTTCCCCTTCATCGGTGAGTAGTACCACTCAGCACCCATCCATCCATCCATCCATCCACCTCCTCTCCCTTCATCATTCATGTCTTTCTATCTGAACGTTTGGTCAGTAACACTATCTGTAACTGTTTGTTACAGTATCTGTCACTGCAATCATCATCTGAATGCATGTTGTCATGCTATACTCTATGTAACAGGCACAGCCAGGAACTCCCTGAACCAGCCCAATATGTGGCTGACTATGCTACTCACCTCCATCCTCTGTGTGCTTCCCGTGGTGGCATACCGCTTCCTCCGCATCCTGCTGTGGCCCACTATCAACGACAAGGTCAGATGTCGAGGGTCAACACATTTGTAATTGCCATTGAAGATTCACAAATTATTACTTTTCCCTGACTGTCTCCCTCATTCCTCCTCCTCCCTCTAGGTGAGGTACAAGGTGAGACAGGACAAGGTGCTGCCCCCTGCCCCTCGCCGTGTCCAAGCCCGCCGCACCAGTACCCGCCGGTCAGGCTATGCCTTCTCCCACGCCCAGGGCTACGGTGACCTGGTGACCTCAGGCAAGTTCCTGCGGAGGAGCCCGAAGAGCCGGCCAGCCCTTTTCTCCCAGACAGACTCCCCATTGGCCCAGACCCAGCCTCAGTTCTACCGCACCATCAGTGAGAGGGAGGAGCCACCACTGAGTTCCTGGGACTGATGAACTAACAGAGCACACAGTGTTCAGCTCATTCAGTCTGAAAGTCCTCACTTAATTAATCTATTCCAAAAATATATATCAAATATAAATCAGCCATGTTTCTGTGAAACACTTCCACTGATGCGAGGATGTGTAACATTCTTCGTCTGGATAAAAAAAGGACAACCCCAAGCCTAAATTCAGCATTTAGTGCCAGGCTTAGTTTCAAGATATATGTATGTGTAAGTACTGTCCTTGTAAATGTAAAAAAAAAATAAGTATTGGTTATACAGCAACAAAATCATGCTGGGCATAAGTCCAAAATTATTATTATATGGTACAATGGTCACAGTGGCAGTCAGTGCCGTTTAAGATTAGGGAGGACGATTCGTTTCTTTATGGCCTTATTTCTATTACACATATTGGATGACTGTCATTCATATTCCATTCACCCAGCTCAATGTAACATCTATAGGTTTAGGCTACTACATGATACTCTAATTTTCCCTATACCCATCATGAGGTTGCTACAACCTAGCCTACGAATGAAAGTTTATAATGTAGGTGAAAAGGATACACCATGGTGCTACCCCAGAGTGTGTTGTTGAGGCTACTGTAGACCCTCATTGCAAAACAGTGTGTTTTAATCAGTTATTTAGTGATGTGAATATATTTACCGTAATATAGTTTGATCTAAATAAGGCTAACATTTTTTATGTTTTGCAATTTTTATTTTTATGAAATTCACTGAGTAGGATGGTCCTCCCCTGTTTAATTATAGCTTTATAAATTAAATGTAGTTATTCTTTAGTTATTAATGTGTTATTATACAATTTGGTGAGACTAAAAGGACCTTAAATAATATCATTTGAATCTTTTATACACATTTTCTTTATATATTGTTCCACCTACATTCTAGTGCACTGTCTGTACTCAGGGTGTTGCATTGTTTTGATATATGATGTTATTATTTGAGATATCATGAGTGCATTATGCCAGTCATAGCCTATATGACTTTAACTGATTTATCTTAGTATACCTTAGTAGACATATGTGTGTAATATTTGTTGGACCTACATAAAGATTTGATATATTTTTTCTGGGAATAATGTAATTTGTAATGTGTATATGTATGGTCTTTATTGTATGAAAATATAACATTATTCTCAATCATTGAAACACTATAATCAGACTCTCAAATATGATTTGAATTATGTAGCCTACTTTTTGAGCATTGTACTGCCATAATAAATGTTTGATATTTTTGTATTCCTTTTGTTGTTGTTTTTGCTGTTTTTAATCATTGGTCTTTGTATAAGTAAATTGCCTACATTTCTATTCGTTTTTGTTGGAAACGGCTTGAGTGACAAGTCATGCGCTGTGCGCATTGGCTAGAGACGTTGCGACGCAAATATACCTCTGTTTCACTGGAAGCGCTGGACTGTTGGAAAGAAGGAACCGACCTGAAGCAGTTGGGACTATTGGCAGTCACAATTTACAACATAATAACCACAATTTACAACATAATAACCACAATTTACAACATAATAACCGATCGAAGCCTTCAACCTACCCACAACACCAACCGTATGTATGTTTAATGTTGTTTGTTTAACGTCATTTAATACATCAGCATTCGAGTGGGGCATGTTTTAGTCATCATTCAATTGGATTATGTTGAAGATTTTGAAGGGAAAATATATCGTTAGGCCTACTCTTCTCAATTATATAATATTAATATTATGCATCCATTGTAACTTTAAATTGTAAAAATGGGAGAGGATTACAAGTTTGACCCGCGGCTTTTATAATAAAATGTAGGTTAGGAGATTCCTGCATAGCCTATTCCATGATGCTCTCATTAAAAATGTCAATGCATTTTTATGTTTGTTTGTTTTTTAATGCTGTTTATTTAGAATGTTATTTCATGTGAACGTCTTTAGGACATAGTAGTGCTACTGTCAAATGTTGGTCATGTGTGTGTTTTGGTAGCCTACTGGCATGATGCGCTGTTTAGAAACTGTGCTGACACACGTTCTGGGCTCTGCTGTCAGTTTCTCGCTTTGACACTCGCCCCATTTCACACGCCCTCCCCATCTTTTATGCAGACCCTCTGTCACATTGTGACTCGTGATGTCTTTCAGGTGTGCTGTGTAACCTAGAATGACAACCTCAGACATTCTGAGACATTGTAACTAACTCACTATTCAGTCTAGTGCACTGGACACACACACCTAAACAGTTTTCCTTCCACTCTGTTTGTTAACCCTTAACCTTTAAGCAGAGGAGGTGGTGCCCAAGGAGACCAAGCTCTGTCTGATGTACTGTGTTAGGATAAATCTTCTGCTGAAATGACTGAACATAGTCTTTTAAACATTACCTTGCCAATTCCGTATTACCCGTGCCTACAACAATAATTTCCACAGAATATAGGCCAAACTGTTCTAATCTGAGCACCATAATGATGTCTTCTGTACAGCCCTTTAACTGTTCATTACAGGAAAGCAAACATTATAGAAACAGACAAAAACATCATCAAAGTTTGTTATCTTGATCTGTGTTCCACTAGACCACAGCCTCTGATTAGTAGCCAGGCAGGCAGGGGTGCTGACTGGGACGCGGGGGCATATCAAATATGCAGTGCAGTGGTTAGTCATCTGCAACAACACCCTGTCAGCCTGCATGGCCCACTTTCCACAGGAAGTTCTCTACTGGTATTTATCTCAATGATCTTATTTAAAGACGAGAGGCTCCAAGGAACTGTCAGTGCATGAATCCCAGTTCTCATGGATACGATGCCTATGTGATTAGAGAGAATCTTCAACTATTCTTCTATGCCAAATCAGGAACAGTCAGCTTGTTGATAAGTGTATTTTCCTAGTAAACAGATGAACTGAGACACAGAGACACTTAAGCCTAGTTCCTATGATTAAAATATGAGTTGATTATGAATGTGTCTGTAATGGATATTACTACAGTTATGGATAGGTTGCCAGGGTGGAGATATTTGTTGACATGTTTGTTCGAAACCTTTTGAGGATAAAGAGGATTTATTTCAGCCTGTCACCAGATGTTGCTGAGATTACTTACAGATTACACCCAGATGGGGCACTGTAGGGGTGTGAACGGTAGGCTGTGAAGAATAACACCTCTCACAAACAACACTGTACCCCAGAAAATGCAGCAAACAGACATTTAGCATTTAGAATCGCATTAAAGTTATTTATAGTGACTTGACCTCAATACGAAAATAAGCTTCAAAGCTCAAGATGAGACTATTTGGATGATTTAACAGAATTCTGAAAATGACAGGGGTTTTATATTCTAAAACAGAGCCAGGTGTAGAGTAGAGCCCACCCTCTCCAAATCTCTTAAAATGACTCTGAGCCTGCTCACTGTAATCCATGACAATGTTGTCATAGGAGGCTGAGGCTCAGAACTGTCTGTACAGGGAGGAAGCGCTAGCTAAGGGTTTACGGGACGAGAGTTGGGCTCAGAAAATGTGTTTGTGTGAGTGTGTGTGAACAGTATGTGATAGTCTGCTGTGTGCATAGGTCTAAGACACTGTAACACGGTCTTTCTATCAGACTCTGCAGTGCAGAGTTAGACAGACTATGAGTAACTATGGGTGACTGTTGCTAGGTGGGGAGGGAGGAGGAAGGGAGTACGCCATGGCTGACTGAGTGAATCATGGAGTTCTGGCCCACTGGCCATGCTGATGGCTTGAGGCAGAGGATGTAGTAGTAGTTTGACTTACTATAGGCTCCAGAATTATCACCAAGCTTCATAGTAGCATTGGGCTGCTTATCTGTTCTATTATCCTCATAGCCCATTTAATGCTCTCCTCCTCAGGTGTTTCCTTCGGAGAATGGACACTCTTGCAGTAATAGCATCACCTCCTAGCTGAGAGAATGAACAGGACGGCCAGCCTATCAGGGGATACCCTGATCGCGTGTCACTTCCCCCTGGTGCAGCTCCCCCCCTGGCAGCTTCCTGTGCAGGCGGCTCTGTGCAACGGCTCTGCCAAGCAGCCTGGTCGGCTGTGCTCCAGCTCCGTAGGTCTGACCCGTGCCGCCTCCCTCCCCGAGCAGGACAACCTCCACAGAGAGCCCTTCCACAGGAGCCTCAGACACATCTCCTCCAGCTACTGGAGCCTCAAGGAAGACCGGGGCGAGGAGGAGGGCGACGGGGAGGGGGGCAGCGACAGCAGCGGGAGGTGTGACTCTGGATCATCACCAGAGGAGGCATCACAGATGACCATCTCCCAAAGACATAAAGAAGACCCTGTAGTTAGAGGTTCTTTACGGTCACACAACTCCTTCCTCCCGAATGAAGGGGTGGATGAAGATGATGAGGATATTGATGGAGATAACCTGCACAGATACCACGAGGACTCCTCTTTTGTGTTGCAGCTGCATGGGAACTCTAACTGGGCCCTGAGTAATGCTGGGAGGTGGACCTCCAAACCTAGGCAATCAGCCAGTCAGCAGAAACATGACAACAAAGGTAATACTGTGTTGATGGACTGTGGGGAGCAGGAGAGACTGGAGGACATTGAAGATAATATGCTAAGATGTGGTGATGAGGGCTACTGCTTCAGCTATGGCCAACCAAAATGTTTCCCTGAGTCTTTCTCTGATGGTCATCTGGAGTATGTCACAGACTCCTCCTGCAACAGCTCTGATGGGGTTCTCGTCAACTTCAGCGCCATCTACAATAAGAGTAACAACCCTGCCTCCCCAAACAACCTCAGCAGCCCTGCAGTGCAGTCCTCCCAGCCAGCAGATGGCTCTGTCTTCCTAAACCTGCACCCTTTCCCCCAGGAGTCCCAGGGGCCTCAGGCTGCTGGACCTACTCAGGGGAGCCGAACAACCTCCTCTCCTCATGACTGGGGGCCTTCTGCCCCCTGCTGGTCACCGCAGGCGCTGGACTCCAACTGTAACGTCTACCTTCCTGACGCCCAGAGCCTCCTGTCCTCTCTGGAGGTCTCTGACCTCACTTCCTGTCTCCAGAGCCAGGCCAGGCTGCTGCCCACAGGGACCACCCAGAAGTACTACAAGCTGGTGACCTGTGACCTCTCATCCCAGTCAGCCTCGCCTAGCCCAGCCTGGTCCAGCACCACCAGTGTCACCTCAGAGGGCCAATACGTCCTCTTCAGTAAGGCCCGGGGAGATCAGGGCCAGGGTAACAAACAGGTAGGCGTACCACAATGATGTACAGTATGTTTAAAAAGAAGCCCAATTTTTGTTTGTCTCCTTCATGTTTTGACTAATTTGTAAGATGATGAATGACTTTCATAACGGTTGACTTTCCTAATCAAAGTTTTCTCTTTCTCCATGGCCAGCAGGAAGAAGGCTCAGACAAAGAAGGGAGGAGAGCTACCCTATTGCACCGTCCTCGCTGTATGAGCTGGGACTCCCAACATGTCACCTCCTTCACTGAGATTGCCCACTGTAAGAGACATACAGACAGCTGTCAGAGCTCCAACCACTCCCACACCACCCAGGACCTGTGTCCCATCCAGGAGGCAGTTTCCCTGGGCCAGAGTAGCAGCCACTCCCCCCTACTGCTGAGTCCCAACGAAGGCAGTAGCACTGTGTCCAACCACCCTTCTGTGTCACCGGACCATGAGGCAGAGGAGGAGGGTAAGAAAACAAGCCAGTCTGTATTTGTACATGAGTAATAGTGATTCAGCTGAAGCTAACCCTTGTTTTTTCCTATTTTACAAACGTTCAATCCCCTGTCCTCCCTCTTTCCCCTCCCAATCATAGGGGCGTGTTCATGGGCCACTCCTGTGGTGCGCTACAGTAAGGCTCAGAGGCCCACCTCCCTGCCCATCCAGCCCTTCGTCCTGCTTCCCCCAGCCGGTAAACCTCAGAACCAGCCCCTGGGCTCCCTGCTGGACCAGTACATCAGCCACAAGAGCACCAAGCCCAGCTCCCAGCCAGGGTTCAAGTGCAAGGGCAAAGGCAACAGACTCCTGACCCACCTGCGTCCCTCACCACTGGGCAGCTATGGAGCCATCATCCTGGAGGGCCCCTCTAGCTCTGATACCTGCTCCACCTGCACACCAAGTCCAGAACGCTTCCAGTCCAGACGCAACTGGACACACTCCAGTCCTTACAGTAGCCCTGGCTTTACTTTGACCAGTCCAAAACAAGCTCAAATAAGCACAAAACAATCTAATACCGAACTAACCCAGGTTCATTCATGCCAGGACCAGCTCTTTGCAGACCTAGACCAAAGCTACCCCAGCCCAGGTCAGGCCCACAGTAGCCCAAAACAGTCTCAACGTAAAGATTCAATCAAACGTAGCCAGGGCATGGCTCAGATCTGCCAAGATCTTATTCACCGGTTTCCAGAGCAGAAGAGCCCCAGCCCAGTCCTCCTGACCCACAGCCCTCACTGCCCCATCACCTCCCATGTAGCAACCATGTCACCCTCTGCCAGTCACACCCATCATCCAGACCTGCTGGTGTCCTTCTCTCCAGACCAACCCTTACCGCCCCACAAGGGAACCCCACTAACCTCAGTACCTAAGGCTGGGTCTGCAGCCTCTCACTATAGCCTGACAGCTGCTCTCTCCTCAGTGGCTCCTCTGTCCTCTCTGAGTGCCCTCCTGAAGCCCCTGGTGTCTGCAGGGCCCAGTGTGAAGCAGCAGCATCAACAACAGCACTGTGACTCCTTCAGCCTGAGTGACAGTTGGCCACCTGTGGAGTTCTGCCTGTCACCTGAAGCCTCCTACGAGTCTCTGTCCATCAGCCATCTGCAGAGGAGAGGTGAGGGGGAGGAAGGGGCCTGATCTGTGTATAGGGGATAGAGCATGGAAAATCTCATATATACTGTAGATTGGTGAGGTAGTGTACATGTAGGTGAGAATGTATGGGGTTAAGGGTGTTTTGAGCTGAGAGCATATAATGTGGATTGTGTGATGTGATGTTGACTATGTGTGATGTCAACATATAAAGAGGATGTGTGTGGTAGGCAGACAGTGTCGGTAATCTAGTGTAAGATGGAGAGTAATTAGGCTGTACTGAACAGTCATTATGGGAAACTGGAATCCTGCATTGTCTGTTACTCTGCAGAGCTTGCTGTAGCAGTGCCTTCAATACCCTGAAGGTTTTTTTTTCAAACATGACCTATTTTTATCTCTCCCTGCACAGGATTGGCTGAGACATCTAGTGTGTGTGTGTGTGTGTGTGTGTGTGTGTGTGAGAGTGTGCAAGCTCCAGTGAGTGTGTTGCAGTGGGTGCAGTGTTGTTGATACGCTGGATATATGATTCACATAATTATGTTAATTTTTTTGTGTCACAATAGAGTTACATTATTATAACCAAACAATGTAAATGTTAATCACATGCTTGTATGCACATCATCTTGTGAAAGCAAAGCTTGCACAGTGATGTATTGTCCGTTTAGCAGGGGAGAGGACTGTAGGCAGATTTAATATGCATGAAGATTGTACCCTGACATTTTAGAGAGAGCCAGAGCAAGATGGAGGAAGGGAGAGAGGAAGGGGGAGAAAACAAGTAGGGAGGAAGGAAGTGAGAGAGTAGCAATAGAGCATTCTGTCTCTTACTCTTCCCATCCTCCTTTTTCACCATGGTGGATGAATCATGTAGTCACACCCATCATCCAGACCTGCTGGTGTCCTTCTCTCCAGACCCACCCTTACCGCCCCACAATCATGAATCATGTCCAGTATCCCTGCACATTGTACATTTACCCTGTATACCAGTGTGTACCAACCCTGGTCCTTGAGTACCCCCAACATTACACATGTGTATTGTAACCCTGGACAAGCACACCTGATTCAACTTGTCAACTAATCATCAAGCCCTCAATGAGCTGAATGAGGTGTGTTTGTCCAGGGCTACAACAAAAATGTGTACTGTTGGGGGTACCGGAGGACCAGGGTTGGGGAACACTGCTGTATACTGTTTAGATTCCTCTCTTATTTCTTGTTTTTGTATTATATTTTATTGTTAGTTGTACTTAAAAAAAATATTGAATACTGCACTGTTGGGTAGCTTGCAAGTTAAGCATTTCACTGTACTTGTGCATGTGATAAATAAAACTTGTGGTTCTCTATATAGCCACACCCCTTTTTTTCCAGTGTGATATTTCTGGTTAATGAATGGAAATCTGGTAGTGTTTTATGTCAGTCCCCTCAGGTATTTTCATAACCCCCTGCATGGTACAGAATAGGACATTAGCCAACTCCTGATGTGCTTCTTCCCTCTTCATGTTTCTCCAGGTCTGCTGAAATCTGTGAGCTTGGCAGTGGATTTGGTCATGGCTCATTTTGGCACCAGTCGAGATCCTGGGGAAAAGGTACAGTGCATCTGAGCTAAAAGTAATCTGAAGGGAACTAGAATAACCGGACAAGTCACAATAAATGACGGTAGCCCTTATAGGATGAATCAACCCCCATAAAGATATGTTATTATTTTAGAATTACAGTGTAAATATTGATCATGATATGATAATGTTCCACTCTCTCCAGATGCAGCTAGGGAACAGCTGTAGGAGTCCCACCATTGGTGGTCTAGTTCTGGAGCATCTGTGTCCCACCATCCAGAACATTCTGCAGGATGGCCTCAGGGACCACAAACTGGACCTGATAATCGGTCAGCGACGCAACCACGCCTGGAACATGGTGGAGGCCTCCACTCACACAGGTCAGAGATGCATGGTGGTGATGATGATAATAATGATGATTATATGGGGTGTGGGGGGTTGTGGTAGGTTTGATGCTGATGATGGTATGAATACAGTGCTACAGTTGCTCATGGGGTTGTAGTTTAATGGTCTCTGTTCCTGTGTCAGGCCCTACCACCCGGGTGCTCCACAGCCTGCTGTCCAAGGTGAGGCAGTGCTCCCTGCTGACCAGCCACTGTATGAAACTACGAGCCTTCATCATGGGCCTGCTCAAGTGAGTCCCTGTCAAGTCTCTGATGGTCTTTTTTAGTATAATATCACATTGTGTACTAATGTTGTGTGTTGATTTATGAAATGTTATTATTGTAAAATGAGGGACTTATATTCTCTCTTTTAGCCTGAGGGCCTTGGAATTCTGGCTGAACCACCTCTACAACCAAAAAGGTATGTGTTTAGATTAAAGGACAGGCTCTTTTTTCCTTTTCTCCGAATTGTTATTAGAAAAAATTATGTTCTTGAAACGTACCTCTCTCATACACTTTCCAACTCTCCTCTCCCCAGAGGTGGTGACAGCTCACTACCATCCATGGGGTTTCCTCGCCATGTCGCAGGGGCAGTGTCAGCCTCTGTTCCAGGAGCTCCTCCTCCTGCTGCAGCCTCTCTCCATTTTACCCTTTGACCTCAACCTGCTGCTGGAGCCCCGCCTGCTACACAACAGACAGCTCTGCTCCGAGGAACAAGCTCCACCATGCTCCACCTTTCTCATGACCAGTTGTCCCCTGTTGAAAGGAGACAGCGAAGACAGACGGGGGGCATATGGCTTTATGGATGGACCCAGGGAGAACAGCAGGCCAACAGGTGACCCACACCAGCTGGTAGAGCATCTTCAGGGGTCCTCCCAGGTTTTAAAGGTCATGGGTCAGGAGAAGAGGGTGAGGCCTGTAGGCGAGTCTAGCAGGAACCTGTGGTCAGCCACCATTCCAGGGTGGTGGCAGAGACAACCTTCCCACACGGAGGGGGTGGTGGAGGGGGTGGAATGTGGACAGATTTACATGCATGTCATCCACTCTGAGCCTCAGCAGGGGATGGAGGGGAGAAGAGAAGAGGAGACTTCACAGGAGGGCAGGAGGGAGGGAAGGGGTCCGGAGACCCCCAGGATGACGGCAGACCCCCAGGATGAGAGGCCTTCCCAGGGTGGGCTACGCTGGGCCAAGCTCTTTGGATCAGGAGGGGACCACCCCACCAGGACACAGAGGGCACCCCAAAACCTCAATGGAACACAGACCCAGAAAAGGTCAACATTTATCACTGAACTATGGCTAACCTGATCATATGTTGTTATTACAGTTCCTCCTTAACAACTGTATTTCTCTTGTCTTACAGGAGACCTTCACAGTGGCTGCAGTTGGACAGCTCTCAGCTGGGCCTATTGGCTCAGACAGTGTGGTCAGGGAAACTCCCAGCTCCACAGCCTGACCGGAAACACCAGACATAGACATGGTGCCCCAGGACCACATTCTCTCACCCATGAGATGTTGAACGGAGAGGGGTAGGGAGAAGAAGAAAAGATACATTACCAAAAATCTCAACCGCATGATCCTGAGTCAGTCTTATAGTGCAAAGTGTTACACACAGACACCTAAGCTAGAACACACTCACTGGTCAGAAAAGCACATTACACCATTTGATACAACGGTCTGAGCATGGGTGATACATTTTGCTGTATGTCATTTTAAGGCAATAACAACTCCCCCAATGTTTAGTTATATTTACAAGTGCTTCTGTTCATCTGTCATGAATTGGAATTTATGCAATAGATTCTCCCTGTGCACATGTCTATCAAACTATGTGGTCAGAGAGAGGCTCTACCCATGCTACGGTCTTGCCTTAGGATCTGAAAGCCTTGTGGACCATCCCAGACTCTCCATAAGAAACCAATTAGCATTTAATGGAACTGCATGCATACTGTACAGTAGCATCCTATTCTCCTAATAGTATCAATCTGTCCTCTACCTTCCAACCCCTATACCCTGTCTATTCTATGTGCGAATGGAATGTCAACAGAAAATGCAGAAAGGCAATCTTTACTAGCCATGTTAGCTAGTGCCAAATGTTATGCCACTCAGTAGCCTTGTGCAGTGGCTTATCTTCCAAAAGGAGGTTGCCTTCATATTCAGCTAGACAAATTCAATACGTGTTTGTGAGGTAATCCAGACTGTAGCATGGTAAGATTTCTGTGCATGTGTAAAGAAATATATATGTTCAAGGACTCATTAGGTGCTAATTTCATCCTACTACTTTGTGTGGTTGTTCTACCTATATCAATGTCCTAATATATTGTTTTTTATGAAAGAGAAGTAGAGTTTTGTAAATATTTAGGTAATCAAATCCTAGATTTGTGGAACCGTTAGGATCCAAATTGAGTGCGTGTGCACAATATTAAGCTATCATGTTGTGTTTCAGGTGTACACTGTTTTGATAGGCCAGTACTACTAAGCTAAGGAGAAAAAGGAAGTCTGAAATTGCGTGACAGGAATGACTTGGTTATTATAACCTCTGCAATAATGTGAAAGTGAGTTTATCATAACCCCTCTCATCTCTCCTCCCCAACCTAACTGTCCTTATCTTATAACCTTAGAAGAATGCACCCTCTCTGAGTGTAAGTTCCCTGTGACAATCAACCTTTGCAAATAAAGATAACTTATTGATTTATCTTGTGACTTATACTTCACATTCACTTGTAAAATAAATTATATTTCTAAATGTTTTGCTCATACAAAAAATCGGCCATTATTATTTTTCACCCTGGGATGTACATAGTCCACGGACCAAAGTTTTGCTGTTTCACAGACACTGTTATTTCTAAGTCCTTGGATTCATCACTCAGTTCTCTACCCTGGTCCTTGTGATTGTCTGGTGAATTGTTCCTCCGATACTGGGCTCTGGCATCAATTTTCCTCTGAGTGCCACTCAGCCCCAAGGCATTGTGGGTAAGCTGCTCAAAGGTCTGGCCGTACCTGAACTTGTATCCTGTGGGCAGATTGAAGGTGACTTGATTAAGACTTGATCTTGATGTGATTATATAATATGATGAAAAAGTATAATAATCAAGATGGTATATATGGAGATTTCATAGCTGTTTGTGAGGCTTGGTACTGTATAGTGTTTTGAAGAGGTTTAGGCCCACCTGGAACATGGCCGGTGTAGGAGGGCAGAAGGCCCCAGTGGGAGGGGTAGACAGTGGGGATGGGGGGCAGGGCTCCTGATTCCTCCCCAGGGAGGTGGGGTCCCTCCTCATCTCCTTCCCAAACTGAACCAGGGCCTTGTTGGTGGTGATGGGGTAGCCCGTGCCAATCAGCAAGCGAGATTTGGGCACGTACCCTGTGAAACCTGAATACTTGCCCAAATGGAAGATCTAGTCAATACAAAGAGACTCCCATACAGCTGATTGTGCAGCACACTAAAGCAAACACTATCATATGAGGTATTTCAAATGGTACCTCTGGCATACTGTACCTACCTGAGATGAAGTACTTGTGTGGACTGCTGTCTGCCATGATGTACGGAGAGCCTTTGGGCTTCCAGGGGTCCATGGTCTTGTAGGGGGCTGGCTCTTTAGAGATGACCGTCAGAGGGGTGCTCAGTCTCCGAGGCTGGAGGGGATAGATAGAATGACAGACATTATGGTTGAGACAGAGAAGGTATTGAAGCTTCTGGCTCCTACCCAAGGCCCTATCCCAGACTATAGACCTTTGATTATAAGAGGAGAAGATTTTCTCCCATGGTATCAATGTGAAATTGTTATCATTCAATAAACTTCTAATGCGGGTGCATGGGATTTGTTGGATTATAGTCGGGTGTGGTTTCGTTGCATCCAATGGCAGTGTCTGTGATAAGGTAATGCAATGAGCTGCTTGTGGATTTGACAGCTCTAATGCAGTTCCACCTCCGACACCACCAAAACAACGCTATATGTCAATCTGATTGAATCTAGCCCATAATTGATCTGAATCTGTGGATGGTCTATGATTGGAGAGCTCTCCAGGTTGTGCACCTGGCCTCGTTTAGACAGACAGTGAGTGATACATGACACAGGATCTCAGCATGGATTATTAAACAGGGATGACCCTGTGGGTGGATGCATGCATGCATGCATAAGTGAGAAAGAGAGATTAGAGCTTGTTACATTGAACTCAGAGGTGGTGTTGTTGCTGACAAGCGGTATTGCTGATGCCAGGCGAACCCTCCTCTGCTGGTCCCGGTCAAACTCAGACAGGGTCTCGCGACATGTCTCGGGGTACATACGGGAGAAGTAGTTCTGGCTTTTGGGAACAAAGCCTGTAAAAGACACCAGAGTCAACACAATGCAAAACATATTTTACAGAAGAGAAGGAGTTCCGCTTAATGTATGAAAGCTGAGCAACAGTATGTTTACCAGTGTAGCCCGGTATCATCCTCTCCAGATTCCTGCGTTCACCATGGTGGCTCCTCCAGATCTCGTCCCGTGGGCCTGTCTGTCTCTGTGGAGGGGAAGCAGCCCGTGTGGAGGACCAGACGACGCGAGTGTGACACCTCCGGAGAGGACAGCAGCTTGGTGGTACTTCAGCTGGGGGCAATAACCTGCATACCTGAGGACAGAGAGAGAGGTGGTGAGGATTGTGAAAATATTTTAAACAGGACTTTTTGGATTTATTCTCTGTCATGTTGACAGTAGTGTAAATAATTAAAACCTATTACCATGTCCATGATTATATCAAAGTATGGCTTTATTGAGGTGGAAGGTGACTATGGAACTCAGGTAGTTAGTTTGAGCTGTGTTGTGTTCCTTCATGTCAGCAAGTTCAGCCTCTGAGTTGAACCTTCCTGGGTACCGTTGCCATGAGTGATGGCTTCGAGCACTGACTTGCTCTTTCATCCTCATGGAAATTTCGTGTAGGGTTGTGAAATTGTGTGTGTTAATTCCTTAGGCCTATACTAGGCCGAATGTATGCTATGTGTAATGAGAGAAAGGGCGAAATAATCAAGTAAAATGTATGCGCAAGCATAAAATCTATGGAATTACGCACGAATAGCCTGCTCATTAATGCATCATTGAAAAAGTTAGAATGCAGTAATTTGCCTATACATAGCACACCATGCATGTAATACAAATAAAGCGTAATATTGCACAAATCTAATTAGAGTATTTAATTAATTGATTTGCTAAAATACAAAAGCAAAGCAGTAGTGTGAATTACCTACCCCGGTATGTACTGCGGTTGAGGTGTCACCAGCACCTTGCTGAATTTTGGCGGGAATTCCTCCATGTTGCCCATACATTGTACCTCTGAACCGGACTCGAGATCTGGGGCCGGGCGCCTGACAGGAGCGCACATTGTAGTGTTTGTGGGTGGTTGTCGGGATGTGGACTGCGCGCAGAGATATGTCGACTGCGTCTAGACCAGGTCAAGGATCCATTATTCCGTCATTTCATTGTTGCCTTTGTGAAGGTAATCTGCTCGCATTTTGCCCCCAACATTCTCAAGCTTGTAGTTGTGTACTTTACTGTAGGCTACAGCTTGTTGCTTCACTCCGCAGTGGCAAATACGCACCGCCCTCACACATTCCCATGCACCTTATGGTCAAACAGGTGTCATTTTAATAAACAAACTAGTCTATCCTTCCTAATAGTTGTTTCACATATTCAAAAGGCTTATTTTCTTATTTTTCTTTTATTCGATATAGAGTTTTCTTTTTTACACAAGCACTCCTGGTTTTGTTTTTTAGCCATCTCACATGCTTGCCCCAATTTTCATTGTTCATTTTGAAATAAAATTAGAAATCTGAAAGGTTATCAAGTTTATGTGGCATAGAATTATACTGGTCTATAGCGGCACCTGGTGAATTACAGCAGCATTGCTGCATTGGCTGGGATATTTCCTTGTGTAGAATAAAATAAAATAGGTATGTATTCCTTTAGTAATAGCTGAAAGGTCGAACTTCTCATTTGTACTCCTCTCTTCTAGTATCATATTCCTGAGTGAAAATTGCATTTCACATCAGTGTTTACAGGTGCTGATTCTGCCTGTACACTGACTCAAAACAAATTAGTTATGTGAAAATCCACATTTAAAATAAGTGGCAGACAGCCTACTCTATGTGTAGGCTATGCTTAAGCGGCTCAAACAGGTCACAGCCTTTGGAGTTGTAGACTATGTACAAACTTCATGTTAAAAGCACTGTGTGTGTAACTAGTTCCACAGCCTTTTTTTTTAAAGGTAAGATGCCCAAATAATGCTTTCTAGTTGAATGAACATATGAGACCATTTGAGCAAAAACATCATTTTAAGTTGACTGAATTTTTTGTCTACGTTTTGTCATGTTGGAGCTAAGTTTGGGCCAACTTAAAAGGTTAAGTTCAGGTAATACTTTGACTGAAACATTGAGTAAAATCATTTTTTAAAGGCTGTAGAACCAGTTACTTAATAATATTTAGTTGAAACCACTAGACACCATTGTGTATGTCACACCTACCCACTCACATACATGCCAAACCTCTTATGTAAGGTATTTTTGTCAATGTCATGACAAGTATTATCTTATCTTTCAGGGGAAATATGGATGTTTCATCAGCAGCTAACTGGTTGAGAAGCCCCTCAGTCAGTCTGTGGGACTGACACATGGTGTTGCTATCACTATGGCCTTGTCATGACTTGTTTCTGTCATACCTGAGTTTGATGGTGTTTGGTGGGAGGAGTTGTGGCCGCAGATGAGAGGGAGTCATACTTCCCAGACACAAACCACAGAGATATGCCAGGGAACAGCCGCGCCCAAGCAGCCCTCCACATGCATGCAGCATCACCGCCGTGACAGGATGATTGATGACGAGGCGTGTCATGAGGATGTAGACGAAACGTCTCAGACTGCGCAGGCTTCTCTAAGATACTTTAATTTGTCCTCCTCGTGCTGCTACCATTTCGGAGAAGAAGAGTGAAAAGAAGAGGACAGGATTTGGGTTTTGGAGATGAATTTGTACAGGAGCTTTGGCAATCTTCTGGAGATCTGGGTGACTGAGAGTGGACCCCCCAACACCATCTCAGACCCCCAGGAGGGGGTAGCTTTGGAGGGCCAGTGGGAAGGGGGTGACTCTGGAGATTCCCTCACCCTTTCAGGGACAACTTCCATGTCTAAATCTGACGTGGGGACACTGGTGCGGTCTGATACAGAGGATTCTGGGATGGAGATAACCAGCTCTGAGGCTTCTCTCCCCTCCTCCCCTCCCTCTGTGTGCATGGGTAATACAGCTATTGATCCTGTCTCAACAACTTCATTCAGGGACGAGGATGGACTCCCCTCTACCTCTCCTCCATGCTCTCCTGTCCTCTCTCTGCCATCCTCCTGCTCCTCTTCCTCCCTGTCCCTCTGCCTCAGGACCAGGGCTCAGGGGCACAGGGAGCTGGCTGCGGTCATGCACCGAAATGTGGAGCAGGCACTGAGGAAGACAGACGCAGGTGGCAGGTGGCAGGTCCTGAGGCCTGTAGACAGAGGCGCTGCGCCCCGACGGCAGTGTCACATGGCTTCACTACCCTCAATGCACCCCGTGACCCATATCCAGAGGGCAGGTCACAGGTCAGCGAGCGCTGGTCTGAGGAGGACAGTCAGCCTGTCAGTCGTGGATGAACAGGCCTCAACAGAGCTGCTGCAGCACAGAGGAGGCCTCTCCCCACATCACAACACTCTGCCTGCTCAGACAGACACAGAGGTGGGTTTATATTGAAAGGAGTTGTTTACTTCAATCTTATGATTCTCTGACTGTTTTCATTCAAAATAATCTAGTTTGAGACTGAGACAGAGTGATCCATAGTGCCGGGTTTTTCCCCAAAGCCTCAGCCATCTGATTGTTTGGCAATTTTTTCCTCTTCATGGTTTGTATATGGGACATCTTCAGTAGTCATTGGAAATATTATTTCCAAATGTATTGAGCAAACATTAATATCTGATTGTTATCACATATGTTGTTATGACATACGTTATCACGCAATATGCCGGACGGAAGTCCATTGTCATGTTCAAGCAGTGTACCGTCCATAAATCATGATGTTTCATGTCTGTTTTTACAATGGACTGAAGGAAAGTCAGGGAGGTGTAATGAGCCTTTACCCTTTATCACAATTAACGTTTGCAACACACACACACACACACACAAACAGACACAGCGCTAGAAAGGAAGACAAACACTTAATTACATTGACTGAATCCCTTTCATACATTTTAGTCATTTCATACCTGTGGGTTGTCATTGTTCATATTGTAGTGTGTCAGACTGTGAACCAGTCTTTCCAGGTGAGCAGTCAGCCACTGGCATAAGTGGAATGGAGCCAACCTGGTGCAGTGCTGCCTAGGCAGATGGATTATGTGGGTGTTGTGTTGAGCAGTCTGCTGTGTTGTTGATAAGATTTTGACGGACATGTCACAGTTCTGTGTCAGATGGCGAAGAGAGGGCAGTCCCATTGGGGGAAATCCTTTATTTACAGATTTTGGCCGAGATAATATTTTATCCTTATACAAATTGTCAGTCTTCTGCCCCAAGGATTCCTCTTTGAAATGTTATTATCCAAAGGTCATGTAGAGTGTTGACAATGGTTGGTGAAATGAAGTAGATGATATAGGAACATTAGGTCTCAAATGGAGATATTAGTCAGTATACCTCCGGAACATTAGGTCTCAAATGGAGATATTAGTCAGTATACCTCCGGAACATTAGGTCTCAAATGGAGATATTAGTCAGTATACCTCCGGAACATTAGGTCTCAAATGGAGATATTAGTCAGTATACCTCCGGAACATTAGGTCTCAAATGGAGATATTAGTCAGTATACGTGGAGGTCTTTGCTCTCGGCAGGACTCAGATAGGGTGCTGTGTGTTCATCAGGCAGGCAAAGGCCAGTTAAAGGCCACCTCATTAGTTGAGCTCTCTTTGGGGAAGAAATATACAGTATTTCATGCTCCTAATGACTGTGCACTTTATTTAGTCACTAATCAGCAATGAAAATATCAAGTGTGCTGCCCCATAAGTCATAACATTAGATTGCTACTCTATTCTATTCTATTCTATTCAGAGCAATACATGTTTTGTGAAGTAATACGCCAGAGTTAATTTACTGTGTACTTTCCCATGTGCACTGTTACCTTCCATGTGTAAGTCTCTGCATGTGTCGTCTTTACAGATCAGGCAGAAGGATGTGTGTGAGGGAGCGTATGAGGGGCTCACCCCAGGGCTGGGGTACCTGGAGCATGTGTGCCGGATGTTGGAGGAGATTGCTAGGCTACAGATGCATAACCAGAGGTTACAGGTGGAGATGGAGGCTCTCCAGGAGCAGCAGGAGAGCAGGGTAAGAGGATATGTTGACATTTGACATATCTGGGTCATGTGGATGAAGCTACTAATAAGTCAGTATTTGAGTTGCTTTGCTGTGAGCATTGACATAGTCAGTATAGCAGGTAATTATTAATCAACATTTGACATGCTGTTTCTATCCATATAGAATTCAGAACACAACCATTGTGACTGCAAGGCTGCTGAGGAGGGTGGCCGCTCTTCCAATGAAAGACGACTTGATGCCAAAGATTATGTTGAGGACTTACCCTGCCAATCATCTCAAAATAATAGTAACATGCATCAGCATTTTCGACGGAGGTCAGCATCGGACACAAGACTCATGGTGGGATATCTGAGTGAGTGACCCTCCAATTTTACTTCCCTGAGTGTACACTGCGAATCACTGTGTCATCATTGGTTTATTTGGGTTGAAACTGAGGGTTGTGAGTTGTGTGTGTTTTAGGGAAGGTGAAGGAAGAGTCTGGACGGCGGTACCTGAGTATAGAGGATCTGCTTGAACAGCCCGAGGATGACAAAAAGCAGGTAAGATGATGTAAACTAAACTCAAATGCATGCACACACGCACACACACACACACACACACACACACACACACACACACACACACACACACACACACACACACACACACACGCATGCAGGTATGCATGGACACACTTGCACACACACTTGCGCAAATTGTACACACACTCAAATAGACACATAATTAAGCTGTATTGTCGTATTTGTGTGTGTGTCGAGTATGTCTGTATGAAAGTATGCTTGTGCCTATGTGTTTTTTGAATGAGTCTGCATATATGTCTATATTGACAACTATCTATGTGCCTCTCCAGGAGAAAGAAGGACCAGGAAAGAAAGAACAGCAAAGTAGGATTAAGACCTGGAAGCTGAAGATTGGCTCTCTGAGGAGGGAGACCACAGAGAAAACCAGGTGAGACGACAGCGACACCTGGAGGACAGTGTGTGTTGTGTCATACTACATGATGCACTTTTGAAAAATATCCATGCTGCTCTAACATGGCAGCCAAATGGGAATGATTCACTGTTGTGAATAGATAATGCACAGTGTGCTCAGAGGAGCACAGACTTAGCCTAGGCATCTGTTCATGAAAATTCACTTGGACCCATCCCAAATGACCTCTTTGTTTACAATCACTCACAGGCTTACTGTGCATTGAGGAATTATGTATTAAGACTTAAATATTCCATCCATGCAATCTTTAATAGTTCTGGTGTATGATTTTTCTTCCACATAAAGCCAACAGATTCATTCATCCGTGAAGAAGGCTAGCGGGCGTCGGTTGGGACAGCTTTTCAGGAGGAGAAGGAAAACTGTGCCAGAATGAGAAGAGCAGAATATTCCAACATTACAGTCATTGGTCCTAAGTAACATTCCTCTTCTATGACTTGAAGAATGAGGACACATACTGTAGCACTTTTTCCACAAAGCTGTGGATGCACAGGACTACAATCTATTTAGTCATCTCAATATATGGATATAAATGTTTATTTATTGTCTGCTGCTACATTTGTATTTATTTATACTCAAGTACCATATATATTTTTTATATTGCAATTACATGTAGCCATTAACCAATGTGTTTTTATGTTTCTTTGATGTCCATCAAGTACATTAGCTATAGGCTATGATCATATATGATCCATGTCTGTCTGTATCCCCACGTCTACAACAGGATATTTATTTTTCACTTTTGGTTTATATAATCTTTTCAGGAAACCAAATAATGCCTGCCTTCAATAGTTAGAGTAAAAATAAATAATATACAGTACAAGTCAAAAGTTTGGACACACCTACTCATTCCAGGGTTTTTCTTTATTTTTACTATTTTCTAAATTGTAGAATAATAGCGAAGACATCAAAACTATGAAATAACACATATGGAATCATGTAGTAACCACAAAAAAGTGTTGAACAAATCGAAATATATTTTATATTTGAGATTCTTCAAATAGCCACCCTTTGCCTTGATGACAGCTTTTCACACTCTTGGCATTCTCTCAACCAGCTTCATGAGGTAGTCAACTGGAATGCATTTTAATTAACAGGTGTGCCTTGTTAAAAGTACATTTTTGGAATTTATTTCCTTTTTAATGTGTTTGAGCCAATCAGTTGTGTTGTGAAAAGGTAGGGGGGGTATACAGAAGATAGCCCTATTTAGTAAAATACCAAGTCCATATTATGGCAAGAACAGCTCAAATAAGCAAAGAGAAATGACAGTCCATTATTACTTTAAGACATGAAGGTCAGTCAATACGGAACATTTCAAGAACTTTTAAAGTTTCTTCAAGTGCAGTCGCAAAAACCATCATTCGCTATGATGAAACTGGCTCTCATGAGGACCACAGGAATGGAAGACCCAGAGTTACCTCTGTTGCAGAGGATACGTTCATTACAGTTACCAGCCTCAGAAATTGCAGCCCAAATAAATGCTTCACAGAGTTCAAGTAACAGACACATCTCAACATTAACTGTTCAAAAGGGACTGTGTGAATCAGGCCTTCATGGTCGAATTGCTGCAAAGAAACCATTACTAAAGGAAACCAATAATAAGAAGAGACCTGCTTGGGCCAAGAAACACGAGCACTGGACATTAGACCGGTGGAAATGTGATCCTTTGGTCTGGAGTCCAAATTTGAGATTTTTGGTTCCAACCGCTGTGTCTTTTAGAGACGCGGTGTGGGTGAACGGATGATCTCTGCATGTGTAGTTCCCACCATAAAGCATGGAGGAGGAGGTGTTATGGAATGGGGGTGCTTTGCTGATGACGCTGTCTGTGATTTATTTAGAATTCAAGGCACACTTAACCAGCATGGCTACCACAGTATTCTGCAGCGATACACCATCCCATCTGGTTTGGGCTTAGTGGGACTATCATTTGTTTTTCAACAGGACAATGGGTGATTGACTGTCATCTTGAACTTCTTCCATTTTCTAATAATTGCACCAATAGTTGTTGCCTTCTCACCAAGCTGCTTGCCTATTGTCCTGTAGCCCATCCCAGCCTTGTGCAGGTCTACAATTGTATCCCTGATGTCCTTACACAGCTCTCTGGTCTTGGCCATTGTGGAGAGGTTGGAGTCTGTTTGATTGAGTGTGTGGACAGGTGATTTTTATACAGGTAACAAGTTCAAACAGGTGCAGTTAATACAGGTAATGAGTGGAGAACAGGAGGGCTTCTTAAAGAAAACTAACAGGTCTGTGAGAGCTGGAATTCTTACTGGTTGGTAGGTGATCAAATACTTATGTCATGCAATAAAATGCAAATTAATTACTTAAAAATCATACAATGTGATTTTCTGGATTTTTGTTTTCGATTCCGTCTCTCACAGTTGAAGTGTACCTATGATAAAAATTACAGACCGCTACATGCTTTGTAAGTAGGAAAACCTGCAAAATCGGCAGTGTATCAAATACTTGTTCTCCCCACTGTGTATATATATATATAAATATATATATATGTATGTATGTATGTATGTATGTATGTATTTGTAATGTATTAAATGACAGACAAATGTTTGTTCAGAACACTTGTTCTGTGCTGCTATGCACTGTACCAAGATTAGATACATACTTTGATAATATCTTTATTGCAACAAACTCTATCTAGACCCAATATATGAGATTTATGAGACATTTATGAATGTAACCGTAACAGAGATCTCTTCATCCTTACAGAATCTTGTTTGAAGCCGTGATCGAATTTGAGATCCTCTTATTGAATTTCCACTCCATGACTACCCCAGTTGGTGTGCACTTGATCAGTCTTCCAGGAAAAGCTGATCATCTTCCATGAGAAAAGGACCGATTGATTTACAGTAACTGACACAGGTCATCAGCACTCCAATCAACCTTGTTGGAAAATGTATAACCAGTTCATCGTAACAATTACTCCTACATAGAGTCACAGACGATTAACAATGTACCGCTTATTGTTGACAGTAAACATGGGGGAAGAAGAAGAGAGGCAGGGTTAAGTTATACCAGTTTGGCCTCTGCCTAGTCTCTATATGATGCCACAGGAGGACACGGGGTGAATGATCTGGCAGGTGCAGGCTGATGAATTAAAGCCAGTGCAATACAGCGCATTTGGAAAGTATTCGGACCCCTTCCCTTTTTCCACATTTTGTTACGTTACAGCCTTATTTTAAAAGTGATTAAATAATTGTTTTTCCTCATCAATCTGCGCACAATACCCCATAATGACAAAGCGAAAACAGGTTTTTAGAAATGTTTGCACATTTATAAAAAATAAAAACAGAACTACTTTATATACATAAGTATTCAGACCCTTTGTTATGAGACTCGAAATTGAGCTCACGTGCATCCTGTTTCCATTGATCATCCTTGAGAAGCTTCTACAACTTGATTGGAGTCCACCTGTGGTAAATTCAATTGATTGGACATGATTTGGAAAGGCACACACCTGTCTATATAAGGTACCAGAGTTGACAGTGTATTTCAGAGCAAATACCAAGCCATGAGGTCGAAGGAATTGTCTGTAGAACTCAGAGACAGGATTGTGTCGAGGCACAGATCTGGGGAAGGGTACCAAAACATTTCTGCAGCATTGAAGGTCCCCAAGAACACAGTGGCCTCAATTATTCTTAAATGGAAGAAGTTTGGAACCACCAAGACTCTTCCTAGAGCTGGCCGCCCGGCCAAACTGAGCAATCGGGGGAGAAGGGCCTTGGTCAGGGAGGTGACCAAATACCCGATGGTCTCTCTGACAGAGCTCCAGAGTTCCTCTGTGGAGATGGCAGGATCTTCCAGAAGGACAACCATCTCTACAGCACTCCACCAATCAGGCCTTTATGGTAGAGTGGCCAGACGGAAGCCACTACTCAGTAAAAGGCACATGACAGTCCGCTTGGAGTTTGCCAAAAAGCAACTAAAGGACTCTCAGACCATGATAAACAAGATTCTCTGGTCTAATGAAACCAAGATTGAACTATTTGACCTGAATGCCAAGCGTCACGTCTGGAGGAAACCTGGCACCATCCCTACGGTGAAGCATGGTGATGGCAGCATCATGCTGTGGGGATGTTTTTCAGCGGCAGGGACTGGGAGACTAGTCATAATCGAGGGAAAGACAAAACTACAGACAGATCCTTGATGAAAACTTGCTCCAGAGCGCTCAGGACCTCAGACTGGGGCGAAGGTTCACCTTCCAAAAGGACAACGATCCTAAGCACACAGCCAAGACAACACAGGAGTGGCTTCGGGTCAAGTGTCTGAATGTCCATGAGTGGCCCAGCCAGAGCACAGACTTGACTATCGAACATCTCTGGAGAGACCTGAAAATAGCTGTGTAACAACGTTCTCCATCCAAGCTTGAGAAGATCTGCAGAGAAGAATGGGAGAAACTCCTGAAATACAGTGCCTTGCAAAAGTATTAATCCCCCTTGGAGTTTATCCTATTTTGTTGCATTACAACCTATAATTTAAATTGATTTTTATTTGGATTTCATGTAATGGACATACACAAAATAGTCCAAATTGGTGAAGTGAAATTAAAAATGTCAAATAATTCTAAGAAATCAATAACGGAAAAGTGATGCGTGCATATGTATTCACCCCTTTGCTATGAAGCCCCTAAATAAGATCTGGTGCAACCAATTACCTTCAGAAGTCACATAATTAGTTAGATTGTACACAGGTGGACTTTATTTAAGTGTCACATGATCTCAGTATATATATACACCTGTTCTGAAAGGCCCCAGAGTCTGCAACACCACTAAGCAAGGGGCACCACCAAGCAAGCGGCACCATGAAGACCAAGGAGCTCTCCAAACAGGTCAGGGACAAAGTTGTGGAGAAGTACAGATCAGGGTTGGGTTAAAAAGAAATATACGAAACTTTGAACATCCCACGGAGCACCATTAAATCCATTATAAAAAATTGAAAGAATAGGGCACCACAACAAACCTGCCAAGAGAGGGCCGCCCACCAAAACTCACGGAAAAGGCAAGGACGGCATTAATCAGAGGCAACAAAGAGACCAAAGATAACCCTGAAGGAGCTGCAAAGCTCCACAGCGGATATTGGAGTATCTGTCCATAGGACCACTTTAAGCCGTACACTCCACAGAGCTGGGCTTTACGGAAGAGTGGCCAGAAAAAAACCATTGCTTAAAGAGAAAATAAGCAAACACGTTTGGTGTTCGCCAAAAGTCATGTGGGAGACTCCCCAAACATAAGGAAGAATGTACTCTGGTCAGATGAGAATAAAATTGAGCTTTTTGGCCATCAAGGAAAATGTCTGGCACAAACCCAACACCTCTCATCACCCCAAGAACACCATCCCCACAGTGAAGCATGGTGGTGG